TTTGATGCGCTTTCGCCTGCAGTGTGAACGTAGCCTAAGTGAGCGCACACTCACAGCCAACATGTCATTGGCATGGAAGCTCTTTACTGTGAGCGATGAATCAAAGTACGCCAAAGTAAACTGTGGGGTGACCATCACAACGACAAATGTATCAACAAACACTAATCAGACACTTAAATCACCGCCAACCAAGCAGCAACATAGGAAGACAACTGAAAATGAGAAAAGGATTGATGCCCTGTTATGACTTGATGTGCCGTAGTTTTGAGATGTGTCATCATCTCTGGATCAGTGTTGGCTTAGTGATGGTGATGTGGGAATGTCAGTCTGCTCCATCAGATACAGGTATGGCTGATTGAAGGTATGCATCTACAAGTGCACACCCTCTGTTTGGCTGCGTTTTCCTTAGCTGTAGCCTGGATCTTGTTATAAAAGCAGTGAATGTATAACAAGATCCAACATCTGCAGATGAAAGTTTCGGCCTGTCTCAGCAATGCAAAGCCTCCAGCTTCCAACATCAGCATAAAGAAGAGGAAGCCACTCTCATTGCTTAGTAAGTAATTGTGCTGGACCTGGCTTCAAACCAATCACTGTTCTTAGAGGTCTTCCTCCCAAAGGTAGCAAAGGCTATTCTGTTTTCTGAGTTGTGCTGTTGGGCTACAGACAGAGCTTTTGTAATTTTGGGGGGATCTTGGCAAATTCATCTACTACTACTGCATCTGGGAATCGATGCAACCTCAACTTGCAACACACTAGTAAGTGGTCAGTGGCCAGCTATGATCTTTGTCCTTGAAAGTATTTCGTCCACCTGTCCACCTGTAGATGAAACCACTGACTGGCAACTGAGTATATCATTCCAATGATGAAAAAAGTTATAAAGTTAGACATATTTAATCTTTCTCTAAATATTTCTCCAGGTAATTTGAGTCTATTTATTGTTAAATTGCAGCAAAGAATAAAAACACAGAGAAGAAACTGTACTGAAAACATCTCAGCTTGATTTGAAATTAATTTTTGTCTGTGTGCTCTACAGAGTGCTTTTAAAAATTTGTTGATTTTGTGAAAGAATAAAGTTACGTTGAAACCAAGCACACCATTGTTTTTCTTGTGACATTACCAATAAGTTTGATGTGTCACATGACCCTCTTCCTA